TGCCATTAGAAACCAAGAAGTTAGTAAAACATTTGCATTTCTGTTATAAAGTAATATACATATAGAAAGATGCAGTTGTTTATTTGTTCAGTCGCTTCTGACTCTTTGTCAGCCCACGCCAGAGCTCCCTGTCAGCCATTGCCACCCCCAGCTCCTTCAAAGTCACTTCAAGGATACCATCCATCCATCTTGCCCTTAGTCTGTCCCTCTTCCTTTTTCCTTCCATTTTCCCCAAAGTCATTGTCTTCTCATTATGTGGCCTAAGTACTTCATCTTTGCCTCTAATATCCTCCCCTCCAGTGAGCAGTTGGGCTTTATTTCCTGGAGGATGGACTGGTTTGACCTTCTCACAGTCCAAGGCATTCTCAGAATTTTCCTCCAACACCACAGTTCAGAAGCTTCTATCTTCCTTCACTCAGCCATCCTTATAGTCCAGCTCTCACATCCATAGGTTACTACAGGGAATACCATTGCTTTAACTATACAGAAAGATGCAGACATGTTATGAATTTCACTTCCAATACTGTCACCCATTAGTAGGTGGTGAAAAATGAGGGGTAATCATTTTTTCCATTTCACAAGAAAATATCTTTCTGGTAGGAATGTTATGCTTTCAAAGAGTTGTTGTTGCTGAATTTTCACTTTTAAACCCCTTTCCCGATTCATAGTTCTGTTGTTTTTTCTATGACAGCTGTAGAACTCCCAGAAGAATATCCCAGAATGCCCCCTAATATACTCAGAATGAAATACAGAATTGTCCTGACCAAGAAAATTCATGGGTTAAGTATTGTTTTCCCAAAAGCCCTATAAATCACATCAAGTATATTATAAATATTAGCCAGTCATACAAGAAGGCAACTATATAGAACTCCTGAATGTTAAGGAATGGATCTCCTAGTAAACATCTGTAATAGGCTGTGTTTTAGTTGTCTGGTCCACAGAAAGTGTTTCCTGATCAGATCAGAAAGCTAAGCTCAGGAAAGCGTTCACATGGACAACTTAATATGTATCACCAACCTAGAGGAGCTCCCGATAGCAAAATGGGTGAAACCCTTATGCTGGCAGGACTGCTGAACAAAAGGACTGCTGAACAAATCCGGGGAGCAGGGTGAGGTCCCATCTGTCAGCCTCGGCTTCCTATGTGGGAACATGTGAGAAACCTCCCACAAGATGGTAAAACATCCAGGCATCCTCTGGGCCTTGCAGACATCCAATTATATCACACCAGAAGCAACCTGCAGTTTCTCAATTCACTCCTAACATGAAAAAAACCCAATCTAGAGTGTTCCAAAATGCCAGTGAAAACACTGTTTTCATTTGTCATGGTTATATGTGTTGGTAGGAACTGAGAACAAAGACTTAAAATGGATTTTGAAAACAAGAAAAGGATGAGGTCAGGAGTCATCTTCACCTAGCATGGCCACTTATTTTTGCAAGTAGATAATGCCAATCACATAATGCAAAAGTGCCCGTGCATTTCTAGGCAGAATGTGCATGTCCAGCTTTTCAACTATACAATGTATCCCCTTCCCCTAAAATACATTGGCCCATGTAGGTGCAGTCATAGTAGCCGACACAGAAACCTTCCTCACAACCTATGGTTTGTGTATGACTGTATGAGACCCCCTCCCAATATCCCTTACAAAAGGCACCCATAAGCTCAGGCAAAACTTCTGTATTTCTGAGTAAACAAGCATTGATCAACTAAAGCAACTAATGCATTTTTGTGTTTTTCTTAAAGCCTGTCTCCTTGGAGGACTGGGAGTTAACAGAGCAGCAGAACCCATGGCAGAAGAATAAATATTAGAGAAATTATTGTAGGTCTTTTGTACTCACTCTGGATCTTCAAGACTGAACTTGGAGCATGTGGTACCTTCCTGAGTGGCATCCACTTGCCTAATGTGGCCGACTTAGAGGAAAGATCCAATTGGCTGTAATTAGTGATGTAATCATAGCAAAATGTTTCAGGAAAAGAAAATCCAAAGTCTAACAGTACAGACTGTGTTCATTTATTTTTGACAGGGCCTTCTTTTATCATAAGAAACAAAATGAAGCCTGCCTGAAAGGAATATGATGGAAGGGACAAGAAACAAAAAAATGGTTACAGTTTTGTTTCATCTCTGTGGCAGGCCCACAACTCATTTTCAGGTGCTCTGCAACATAAAATGTGCATGAAAAGACTTTTGTTATTTTTTTAGAAGGATAGGTTTATGGAAAAACAAAAGAAGCAAAAAGCAGTGAGAACCAAAGCCAAAATGATGAGCTGGAATATAAATATGTTCAATGTATGGGGAGGTGGGATGGAGAATGGCAGGTGAAAGATCATCTTCCAACCAGAGTGATCAGTAAGGTGAATCTGCATAGAAGGTTGCCAGCAATATAAGAAAGGAGAACATTTAAGAGATGTAGTTTGAGGGCAGGAGCTGGAAGACTTCAATTGGGTTTACCTAGCAAAGGATGGCCACCTAGCTGCAGACAAAGAATGCCTGAGTTCTCAGGAATGATTTGAGATTAATTTCCTCAAGAATATAATATACCATGGTACATATGTTTTGGAATGCAAAGAAAGTAGTAACGTGCTTATTATTTCCTGGCGATTCTTTTTTAATCACCATTTCATCTTAGCAATATTTTCCTGGTATGCAATGAGGACACTGATAGGATTATCTTGCCTGCCTTATGTCCCAGTTTCTTTGGACTTTAAACTGATCAATATGTGAGACAAGGCTTTCTTCATTTGGGCTGTAGAATGGTTTTTCTTGAGAAACTTCATAGGCAACCTTCATGCTAAGTTTAGGTATTTAACTAAGATGACAGTCAGCTCTCCACATTGGCATGGGTAAGCATTTGGGAATTCCTGTATTTGGCCCACTGCTGTCTTAAACCATTTTAGCAAGGACTTTGATAGCACCATTGTTGCTAGGAGGAAATCAAACTGTGGGGTGGCTGAGTTGCATTCCCTCACTCATGCATGTGGATAAGAAGAGGACAGGAATGGAACTAGAGCCACACAGGCCAGGGTGGGGAAGAGAAAGAGAAAGAGATGGTTGTCCCCTTTATACCTCCTTCCATTCCCCCATCCCATTCCCCCTCTCACACTTAGGTGAATAAGCAAGCAAAGGGATGCATGCAGCCAGGTCCAATCCCCGACCACTACAGGTACTTTGTTACAGATACAGGTATGTTAAATATAGTTTGGGAGGCCTAAAGATATTCAGGGGTTTTTTTTCCACTTTTGCAGGGGTGCTCTTTATCCAACCCATGCAAAAGTAGGGCAACTAAATTTTATTTAAATATAGTTTATTGGCTTCCTGGCTGACTGCAGTATGCTGCCTGAACAGTTTTGCTATTCAGCAACTTTAATGTCACTTCAGCAGAAGATACTTTCAGTGAATTGTGTCACATTAAGAAGACATCACTGAACTGAATCCATATTAAAATGTGGCCAATTGTATCTTAGGGGAAGAATTTGTTTTTATTTTTAGCTAAATTTGGTCACACTTTAGACTCTCAGAAATTGAAGTTGACATATTAGTCTTTATTAAAATCTCACTGACTTTAGTGGGACTAGAACATAACCTACTTAGGCTAGATCCAACTCATACAGAACCATAATAGCATATACTTGTCCATGAACTAAACCATTTAGCCCTAGATCCTATAATATCCTTGACCAAGTGCAAGGTTACGTGCAAGGACCTCATGCATTTGAGCTAGCACAATAATGGTATCCAAATTTTGTTGCACAACTTCTTTTCTTGCACACTGCTTTTTCTAGTCCATAATTCAGTGTAACGGTAGCTTTTAAAACAACTAATATTACATTGGGATTGTTTGAAAGGATACATATTATAGCTGGGATAATGAATTAGCTGATTTCATATTGTGTGTCAAAACAGACTAATTTTAACAGATGCTAATACAAATATTGTATGCATCTCAAACAAAACAGTATGAAAAAAACAAGTAACTATGATTACTATTAAATAATGTACTATTACTTTACTATAGTAACTACTAGACAGAAGTTGTTACCATCTCTAACTAAATTGTCTGCACATAATATGAGTAAATATGCAATTAGGATGGGATATGAGTATTCCAGTGGTAGTTGAAGCAGTGGTAAGATGGGTCCAGGATTAAATTTCATTCATTTAAAATTTCATGTCAGTTAGTGCCTGGAGTAATTCTCAGTTAAGCCAATCTATCATATTTGCTACAATAAATATTACATATAGCAAACAGAAAATATCCTTACTCATGAAGACAATTGAAAGAGAATGCAATATATGAACAATTATGCACATCAGGATCTCCATAATCATTTCTATAAAAAATAAAAACAATGCCATTAATGAGGTAGATTTCTTTCCAGTTGACACCTTAACAAGGAAGAAATTATCATAAAACTATTTGTTTAGTGACAGCCGATGTCTCTGTTCTGAATACCCAAAGGGTTAAAGCTGCACAGACAGTGCCCTCAGCTAAAACTGGACAAAACAAGACAAAAACAGTGAGGGTTCTTTTCGTAACCTGCCAATTTCACAGAATAACCCTTATTTTCCCCAGATTTGATACTACCCTTTGGTATAAACAAAAGAAAAAAGTCTACTACTTTGTTTAGCTGATAGCACTGTAGGTGCCATTGTTAATAGCTAGAGACTAATGGAAGGTTAACACATTTGAATGCTACACTGAGTAGTAACACATGATTTGGAAGCTATGAGATTAAAATGTCATTTTCCACAGATAATGTATATCAACACAATGATGTGACAATATCATACAAGAAGATCTCACATATCACTATTGCAAATCATTTACATTTCTGAATTGCTTATAACTATTACTAATATTTAATTATGTTTCAACTATTTCCAACTTACAAAGGTGAATAAGATAACAAATCAAATATTTTTTTCAGAAATATTTCTAAAAGACATGTTATGGCCAAATGTCCACGTTGTTGGATATCTGATCTATGAAGGAAAGGATCTTACCTGTATCATTGCCTGAAATTGCAACAACAAACACTTTAATATCAGGTCGGCTTTCCAAACCAACATCTGCATCTGAAGTAGATGGAGGTTCTTCTTGAGATTCGAAAACCTCTGTGGGTTGTCCTGTAGGCTGTTCAACTCCAATAACAGTTGATGATGTAAAATATTCTGTATCAATGTCTTGTTCTATTGTTTTGCCTGTAAAATCATCATCAGTAGTAGTTTTAATGGGAGAAATGGATTCATCAATTACTAGAACATCTATGCTTGTATCTTCATCAGGTTCTGTATAAATTAAAGGTGGCTGTGTTTTGGTGCTTAAAGGTTTCAGTGTCAAAGCTGATAGGTGTTTGTCTACTGTAGCAACGGTACTGGTGGCTATGTCACTTATCACTGTTGGCTTACTTGTTGCCAAAGCTGGAAATAAAATGGGCTCTGTTTCTATAGCCTCCTCTGTTGTTCCTGAGCCTTCTGGGGTATGAGTTGTAAGAGTTTCTATTTTCCCTAAATCAGTTGAAGAAACAAAAGCCTTTGTAGGGAAAGGACCTATAAATTTGACTGTGAGTGCATCGTCTGCACTTTTTGTACTTGGCTTTATGGGAGGGACATCAGTAAGTTCCAGCTTTTGCTCAGTAATCGCAACTTTTTCTGGAGACAATTCAGACTTTGTTACTGTTTCATAAACTGGGATTTTCACACCTGGGCCCACAGTATGTTCATATTTTTCTTCAAATGCAGATCCTTCAGCTACATCATGTTCTGGTGATATGGGTAGCTTTGAAGAGGCTGCTATCGAATCAGGAATTGTGGTCAGTTTTCCCATAGCTAGCTCTCTAGTAGTGAGTTCATCTTCAAAAACTGTAGTAACATCTGGTTGTGTTCCTTTGGCACCTGTTTGAGTGGTTACAGTAGCATTTTTCTCTTCTGATGCCTCAGGAACCAAGGAAATGCCAGGTTCTTTCTTTGATGTTGCACCAGGTGTTGCCATTGATGATCCATCAATAAATACAACTTGGTCTATGCCTGTTGTGCCTTCAGTGACTAGCACTGGGTAAATACTTGTTGCTTCACTGGAAACTCCTCGTTTTGGTTGCTCCTCAGGAGTACTCCCTTCAGAACTCCAATCATATTTCTGATCTGCTATTCCTTCCATCTTCTCTTGTTGCATCCCTGGTGTAGATGCTATTACATCTACAAGTTTGGTAGAATCCACTTCTGTAACAGTTAATTCCACGGGGCCTGATTCAGATCCAGATGGTGTTGTTCTTTCAACTGGTAACAAAGTTGGAATTAATCTTAAATCTAAATCACCAGGTGTTACTGTAAATTCTTCTTTGACTTTCAAGTCAGTGTGTACTGTCTTAGTTCTATCCGTTACTGTAAACGCTGGTGTTACAGGGCTCTTTATATATCCTATAGTTGGTGCAATTTTTCTTTCAAATGAGGTTGCTGCTTTATCTGGTGTAGCTGTAGCATTTTTCTCTAAGAATATATTTGTCACATTAACTACATCTAGTTTTGGTATGGTGCTAGAGTCCTCTAGTTTATGGTCAGGCATAATAATCCCATTGTCATCCCTGTCTGTAGATCCTAGATGATCCTTGAGCAGCTCTTTTGGAATGACAACAGTTGTGAGTTTTACATCACTTTTTGCTTCCATTGATTTTTTTGTTGGTTGGGTATCAATATGTGTTTCTTCTTTTGTTAATGTAACAGGAGTCTCTGTTTCTACAGTTTTGCTCAAGTCTTTTCTCAGTAGAGCATCTACTGAAGTCCTTATTGGTCCCACCTCTATTTGTTCAGTCTGACTTTCAGAACTTTCCTTGCTGAAGTCAGAGACATCTTGTCTAAGTGTGGTCACTACTAGATCACTTTGCAAAGAATTTTTTTCAGTAACATCTGACAAATCAGAAAGGTCTGTAATAGTCTGAGGTAGAACAGTAGATAAACTAATGATCTTCGGTACATTTTCTTCTTTTTTAGTCATTTCTTGTGTAACTGAAGAGATGTGGGAATAAGGTGAAGTTTTGGAAGGCATTGTCTTTTGTTCATTTAATAAATTGGCAGATCCGCTTTCCGAAAGTATAGCTGGTTCAGCAGATGAAGTTTCTGATATATTCTCCTTACCTATAAAATTCAAAATTAGAAAAAGAATTCAAAACATTTGCAATTAAAAATAACTTCATTAGTTACATTCAATGGGCATTTTAGAAATTATGACAAAATGCATGCTCTTTATCTGTTGTGTGATAATTGTGGGTCCATAGGTCTCAACATTTATCTGGTAAGTGTTCTTTCAAGTTAAACAACAGTTCCATTTACCTTTGGAATAAAACTATTTAAATCCAGTTCTTTTCAAATATATTATTGCATGGCCTATTAATAAACTTAGGATCATAATATCATAAAGATATTAGTAACAAAGGTCCAATGCAGGGACTTCGATTGCAAAGCACAACTCTCCAGATGTTCTTGGACTGTAGCTCCACCCATTTAGTCCTAGACATAAGCAGACAAATGCCTGAATAGAACTAGATAGATTACTCAGATATATACATTTTGCAGTAGTAGTCAAAGAGGTTAGCTGCATTCATCTGCTTTAGCACAAAATTCATAAATGAATCCAGTAGCATCTTCGAGAAGAAATTTCTACAACAATCTTTCATGAACTCAGTCCATTTCATCGGATATCTCTAAAGCTTATGCTCTGAATTTTATTCTTCCCAGTTCATTCCTAAACTACAGAACTTCTAGATTTATGTCTTCTTTGATCAAGCAAATCAAATTATTCAATAATATGTTTTACAAATCCAAAGATTTGGCACTTATGCTTAATGTGGTATTAAGCTCCATACTTTATGAATTAGAACCAATTTGAAAAAGGGAGGGAAAAAATGAGACAGATTCCAGTTAAGCACAACAAGCAAATGTCTCAGCAATCCAGGATTTAAGCTTCCCAATTAATATTTGGCCTGAAAAATATAGATCCTTTCTAGCTCTTTGGCCAGATGTTCTGACTTATTTTTGCCAATTTGCCGTGAGACTTCAATCTGGGGTCATTTCATCATCATTGTCCAATGTGTTACCACCAATACAGTTCAGAAATTTTGGATCTTAAACCTTGTGAACTAAAGATTAAAGAAAAGATATGATGTTAAAGTTGTTTCTTGTCAAAAGGAAGAATTCCCTACAATTCATTTGTGTTTTCCTTAAAAAATCACCCACCCATAGAAGTTTGTTTCTTCTTCTTTTAAAGCAATATTGCTCAGGCTCCATCTCAGTACAGATGGTTTTCATTACTAGACTCCTTGAGTCATGTGTTCAATGGGATATCTTTTTTGTGCTGCTTTTGATGCAAGACATGAGGCAGTTTTTCCGAATAAAAATATTCACGTCTAATACAGCAAGAAAGCAAATTATCTCACCAACAGCTGCTAACATCAAAGTCTATTCTGCATTCTAAAATGTGTTCTTTTACATTATGCACAACTGAATCAAGCCAATTTTTAACAAATGCTCCACACATTAAGTATTTTCATTAGAGCAAATGTTCTACTCCTGTTCTACCTTTTTAATGTTCTACTTTTTTAAACATTAATAATATAATGATTGAACATAATGAGTTGTATCCAAATGTGATCATACTAAGAGACCAAGTGAAATTAGTGTTATTTAAGTTATCTATGACTAACTTAAGTCCCATTGATTTAGTAGCTATATTTCTTGACATTTTCATTTTGACTTCAGAGAATTCATTTCCAGAGCATATTGATTATGGAACATGTGGATAAAATCCTTCTGATCAATATTCATATTATGGAATAACAGAGCTTGGAATGTTTATTTTAGGAAGAGTAACTTAACACGCTGAAGCCCTGCAAAACAGAGGTAAGAGCATGATGCTTCTGAACAGGGCTTCTTAAACCCCTTTTCTTGTGAGTTCTTTTTACATGACTTTGGGTATATAGATATGTAGAATAGGTATACAAATCAAACATTTACTGATAATAAATCATGAAGAAATGTATTCTAAAACAAATCTTTGGTATACATACTATTTTATCATGTATTAAAGATAAAAGTCCATTTTCATAGTAATGAGATAGATATGTTGTTTCTTTTTCCATAAAGAAATAAAATTTGACTGAATATTTGAAACTGTGGGATATGGAGCATCCTCAACATTTTACATGTCATGCTGGCATGTCTGGTTTGCAGTCTGAATGGCCAGAATATACTCTGTTGGCTCTTCTCTCCTGAATTGGGGTGTCACACTGGAGTGTTTTGAGGGTCCAACCTCCAACTTAAAAGGTATCAGGTTACAGAGTGGACCATGTGCCAAAAATTGATCCACCTCCCTCTTGTTCCCATCACAGTCTGTTCACATACATGCATGCAATCCTTATCCTTTCCCCCCTGCAGAGGTTGTAGGCAGATGGTTGGCATTTTTCTTTTTGATTGATTGTGTTTTATGGACCCAGCTTAGTTTTAGAATCAAAATTTGAAGGGAAGTCTTTCTGAAAAGGCAAAAGATCCAACAAACAAATCAACATTTGCAAAGCTTGCTAAAAAGGCAGGCTGATTTTATTGCTGCTCTCACCCAAAAGGAAGCTTGTAAGGGAGTAAGGTACTTTTGTTGCCCAAGGAGGGGATAATGGAAGGGAAAAGAAGAGGAGAAGAGAAGAGAAAACAGAAAAGGAGGAGGAGGAGAAGGAGAAAGAAAGAAAGCCAGGGATAGCCTTGCAACGAAAGCAGCAGAGGTCAACTGCTTGCCTCCGCCTATTCCAATTCCACCCCTCTCTTTTTGCCTGTGTGAGAAAAAGACTCCAGAGGAGGGAGAATTTACATGCAATATGACTTGATGATAAGGGAGGAGGAGGGGAGAAAAAGAGGGAAAGAAGAGCTAGAAGTTATGGCCTCCTTAGCTGGCTGGCCGGCATGCTGGCTGCTTGGCTCTGCACTACTTTGTTGCCTGCTCCTATGTTTTGTTTTCAAAAGGAAAAGCAGCCGCAGTGGAGTGGGGTGAGGAGGTGAGGTAGTGGAATGACCCCCAGATTGAGTTATGGGGCCCCAGATGCAGTCATAACCCACAGTTTAAGAAACTTTGCTCTAGAAGGCACTGTTCAGTTACAGACGAGATCAGCATTTGTTATATTCTTAAAAGTAACTTTTCACTGTCTATTTCTTCCTAATAAAACTAATAAAAAGAACCTTCAGCATGAGTTTCATTCAGGTATACAGAGAAATGTATCTAAAACCCAGGTCTCAAGTAACTTACAAAGAGGCCTATAATATTTTACATTACATCTTAGTCAAGGTATTTAGAAACCTTTTCCCCACCTATATTAACTCCCTACCTGTGAACTAAGATGTACAGGACTAATTTATTTTAATGTTACCACCATCTAAGGTTAGATGAACTTTTACTAGTAATATTGATTAGCTTTAGAATTACCTCTGTAGGAAAATTAAGAAGACCAGTTCCATCTGTGAAGATCTAGGAACACAGTAAGATGCCAAAAGTGAGCAAAGCTCTAAATGTTACTGGACACAAAGCTCCACAGACCCTAAAAGTAGGGCCCATAGGTTGCATTCCTCTTTCCTTAGGGTGTTGCCATTTACCAAATAAGAGTTGCTGCTCATGTCTGATGTAACACTGAACGTTTTCCAGTCATATTTTGAAATAGCTCAATCTTTGCACATGTGAAAGATGACTTCTATTGCAGTGCAATGGAGTATCCTTCTGTTCGCTAAGCTTTGTGAGTTTTCATCTACTTTATTATGAGACTGACTAAATGCAAGTGTTTGCATATTGCGTATTTTGTTTTTCATTGGTATTTTTGAATATTTTATTATGGGTTTCTTGAAACCACATTCAGAGCTCTTGTGGCTGAAAGCCACTCATTTTAAAAAACCTTAGGTAATTTGAAAATATATGGAAACCTCTTTAGTCTTCTGTACTTTGGCCAAAGGTTTCAAACAGTAGGCAGACAACTACTGTTGACTTCATTGGGGTTAAATCTCAAGAAAGAATGGGAAATGTTCCAAAGTATTCCTATGTCTGCATATAAAACCACCATCCGTTAGGAACAAATTACTTTTGGCTAGAGTAATGTTTTACTTCATTGCTAAGCTAAAGAGAATTAGGATTCACTAATCCTAAATAAATGGTTCACTTTAATTTGTTTCTTTTTACTTTTGATACATAGATCTATTAAATATACATGCAAAATTAAGTTTGTGCCTTTCTGAAAATTTTAATCATAAGAATTTTAGCAATTGTAATGTAGGCACGAGTTTTTGAGAATGAGAAAAATCTGTTGGTATTATAAGCAAAGAACAACAAAAAGAAGCTGTAGAATCCAAGATTAATGAAGTAGCTCCCATTACCTGAATTATACCAGGTGAACTATAAAATGTAAATGAATATAACTTAAATGTACCCAGGTTGCACTCCTGTTTCCCCAACTATAGAACTCTGTACAGGGAAAATCATTTGAACACCCTCCATGCTGGCTTTCAGGCAGTAAACAAAATCATTTTTGTTTCAAAGAGCTTTTACTCAATTTAGATTTCTAGTCTTTTTATTTATTTATTTATTTATTTACTGCATTTGTTGACCGCCGTTCTCAGCCCCAGGGCGACTCATGGCGGTGTACAACATATAAAAACACAGTTTACAATAAAGCAATAGCACAACGAAATATCAACAACTATCAATAATACAACAATCAAATAATTACACTAAATCATCCGCGCCGCCTCATCGTAGAATCATAAACCAATCTCGTAGTCCATATTCCGTTCCAGTCGTCATTACCAATTGTTTTAGCACTTAGTTAAACGCCTTCTCAAATAACCAAGTCTTTAGGCTCCTGCGGAATGACATAAGGGAGGGCGCCTGTCTGATGTCTACAGGGAGAGTGTTCCACAGCCGGGGGGCCACCACCGAGAAGGCCCTATCTCTCGTCCCCGCCAGACGTGCCTGTGAGGCAGGCGGGATCGAGAGAAGGGCCTCCCCAGACGATCTTAAGGCCCTCGTGGGCTCATAGGCCGAGATGCGGTCCGATAGGTATTTTGGGCCGGAACCGTTTAGGGCTTTGTAGGCTAGCACCAGCACCTTAAAT